TCACTAAATTATTTTTATTCTATATTTGTTATAATACAAATTTATTCTTTTGTAACTTATTGCGTGGTAAAAATTGCATATCTATTATTGAAAAAAAAAAAGAAAAAAATACAGATTCTGTACAGAATATCCCAGAATAACCGCAAAATATTTCGTGTTCAGGTAGAGTGGGCTAAATTAACTTGTCAGTTGTGAGTCGAAAAGTCCTCTGTCATTGCAATTTTCGCAATACTTTGGGAGATATTAATTTCTAAATATCACTGAACAAACACGCGGACTATCGCAACTATGGTTGCGTTCAGCAGATTCAACTGTTGCGGAGCGGATCCGTGAGCGCTCGCTGCTATTGGATGATCTAGGCTGCGGTCCACTTGACGCTACAAGTGGACCGCAGCCCTAAAATATTCTAAAAGAATACACCAATAGCAGCGAGCGCTCACGGATCCGCTCCGCAACAGCCGAGTCTGCTGAACGCGATCTGTATGGCCCGTATGCAGAACACGCTTACAACAATGTTAGCGCGCTAACATACTATACTTTACGTCACGCATATTATAGAATTTCAGAGATAAAAATACGCTTTTATCGATAAAAGCACATTCTGAATATGGGCCACTGGTTACGTTTACACCGTGCATTTAGGCCGCGGCCTATATATCAATAGATATCCTTATTTATCCTGTAGGTTAAACAAAGACACCTATCGTATAGGTCGCGAACTAAGCGCACGGTGTAAACGTAGCCTATGTCTATCGATCGCGGTCGCTTGTTGCGCGAGGAGTAGAGATTGCTTGGTAGGCGCGTCGCTTGAATTATAGCGCTTAGCGTGCGCCTACCAGGCAATCGCGTTCTCACTTTTCGATCGCTCGCATTTTTCGCGAATAATTGTTTGAAGACTACTTAGTATTGAATTCTATTATTATATTACTCTATTATTTCAATTCCCCCTTACTATATTGAGGACTCTAAAATATGAATTGAAACGTCTATAATTGCTGTATTATGCTAATTTTAATTACATATATTCACCTTATGTTTAGCTCTGATTGGAATTATTGTTTATTAATTTACATATATATATATATATGTATGTAATATTTTTATTTAGACAATGGATGATTCTTCTCAAACGGAAGTAGGTGAGGATAATGATGATGATATCGAATATGTTATTGAGAGACTAGATACAGACGAAGATGATGACTCAATGGAGTTGGAAGAAGTAAAGGAAAAAATTGAAGAAGTCGATATGGAACAGGAAGAAGAAAAGGAGATGGATAGTGGTCAATCCAATGAGGATTCTACATCTGTAATAAAGAAGATCAAATTGTTACCCGAGGTAATTTATACAACAAATTATGTGTGCGTGCAATAAAAAATATTAATTTTATAGTTTAAGAGACATCTGTCGATTTTTCGAATGTTATATAATTTTTCGTGATGCTAATTTTTCATGATATAGGAAAAATGTCAAGATCCTTTAACAGAGGCGATGGCTCATGTTCATAACGAATATCTTGAGGAGGAAATCGAGGATCAGGAGAATGTGCAGGTGGAGATGGTGATAGAATCGACTAACAGTGATATATCTGTTTTACCTGAACTAGAGAATGATGTTCAGAAGACATCAAAACCACGCGAAAATAAAAAAACAGTAATCAAAGCCACGAAGAATGGAAAAGTTCTTGTGAGTAATTTACCTTTCTGAACGATAGAAGAATATAAACACTTAAAAACTGCTATTAAACATCAATTTTAATTAAATTATATGTAAATCTCATTGAAAATCATTAGCTAAGTATTTGTATCATATGAATATTTTTATATATGAAATCATAATTAGCTATATATAGAAAAAATTGTTTCATAGCTGGAGGATAGTAAAGATAATTTGCTCGTAACTACATCGTTACCGATATTGAGTACAGCTTATCAGACGAATATCTCGACAAACATAATGCCGACTAAGGGTACGATGAATTATGTGCCGATTGCGCCGAATCCGAATACTCAAAAGACCATCACTCTGATGTGTGGTAATAAAACTTTTACATTAACTGGCGGTACGTTTCAACCGGGTACACAGTATGTACTGACCAAGCTTAAGGGTAACCCAACGGCATTGATGCTGACTGATCAAAACAAAATCATAAACGAATCAGAGAACAAAATCCAAATAAAGCCAGACTCCAACATTGATCAATCATTGATTATTCCTAGCACCAGCCAGCAGCCTGTTAATCAGCAATCGGCTGATACTAAATTGTCGACTAAGAAGGTAAAAAAAATGTGTAATTTTTTATCCGTTCGTCTTCTATATGGTCCAGAACACAGGCTATTATTGACATCTTCATTTATTCTAGATTATTAGTGGAAAATCGTTAGGGAAACCAGTTACATCGAAAAAATTACGGATTTCTACATATGTTGTGGATAATGTCAAAGGAGTTCCAATTAGTGGGTTACAAGTTAGTTTATACAAACTGATGGACGGTAAATGGACCTTCTTGAATGAAAAGTATGTGTTTTTATAATTAATCAGTACTATTATTATATTACTTTTATTTTCTTTAATATAGCCTTAATAATTTGAGGCAAAAGACTTGTTGATTTTCTATTAAGGGGGTACTGACATGACAGCCGAACAGCGATGGGATCGTTGTTTTACCAATTTACATATATTTACGAAACATCAACAAATCTCATTACACATTACTATACATCAATATCGCACGCACACGAGACATAAAATTTTTATACAATCAATAGAAAATAAAGGCCTTTAATGGTTGAAGAAGGTCTTAAGTGCTTAAATAATTCAATACTATGTCATCATGAAAATTGTGCGCTGAATTAATTTTTCAAACTTTTAAAATGTAATCCCGACAGAATTATAGTAGTAATATAATAATGATTTGATGCTTATAAAATTTTTACACAATTTTGTCTTTTATACTAAAGTTCCCAGGCATACTTCTAAAAGCACAGTATTGTTCTTCCTTGTAATCCCTAGTCACGGACAAAGCTTGTTTTATACATTATCAAAGTAAATCTTTTTATAAAAGTATATATTGTTATGAGTTGACATAAGAAGTTTGTAATAAAACTAATTTTTGAATTTTTTTGTTTTTCATGAAATCGTGCAATCCGGACTGCATTATTGTTTAAATTTTAATTCTGCAGAAGGATTTCCAAATCTGTAAAAGTAATACATATGAAAAATTGATATAAAAATTATTGTGTTCGATTGATAAAACAAACAACGCGATGCCAGCATCCCCTTAAGTACTATTTTAAATTTTATAAAATTTTGTTTTTAATTTTAACAATGGTAATTTTGATACAAATATTTCTTGTTATTAAGATATTAATTTTAAATAATTATTCGATGTGTGTATACTTTTAATGGCACAAGAAAAGACAACAGATACAATAAGAAATAAAATTTATAACTTTAAGATTAATATCTGTGTATTTGTTGCTATTGTACTCTTTTTTTGAAAAATGTTAAGAATATAAGTGTGGTAATAAAAAATTTTTTTTTCAGTAGTACAAATGCAGAGGGTCATTGTGACGATTTGATGGAAAAGATAAAGGGTACGATCGGTCGTTATAAGATTCATTTTGATGTCGATAAATATTTTACACTGAAAAGAATAGATACCATGTTTCCATTCATCGAGATTGTATTTGATGTAAAAAAACCAACAACTCACTATCACATACCTCTTTTATTGAGTCCATTTGGTTACACAACCTATCGTGGCACGTAAGTAAGATGTGCTATTGAATAAACTCTTCCGTGATAGATACAGTTGCGAAGAAATACTTTACAGTTTTTATGAAGATGAAACTGCGAGTGTATTTTATTATTTTTATATTGTAGAGAAAGAATTAAATAAGTTAGTGTATGTGAATATATGTTCAAAATACATAACATGCATATATACATATACGAGGTGTAACTAAAATAAGGCAACAAACTTCAGAGCTGTGCCCCCATATCAGAACATAAAAAAATTCATATGAACATATGTCCGCAAATCCACTGTTACTGAGACATAGCTCAAAATGTTCAAATATTATGCTCGTTAGCCGCCGATCTAAATCCTCCAGATTTTTATCTGGAGGACTTTTGAAATTCTTAGTTTATGGAGTTCCAATCGCCAATGAAGATGTGATGCTACGCCAACTCATCTTTGATACCATTCGCAATTGCCCCAGGATCTTTGAAAGAGTGCGACAATCCATGATCCGATGTGTCCAAGCATGTGTTGAATCAAATGGAAGACACTTCGAACATTTGTTGTAATTAAAAATTGAACATAAATAATATTAAATAATAATAACTATTATTTTTTTATTTTCCCCTATTAATAAATATTTTGAATTATATGTCACTAACAGTGAGTTTGCGGCATATGAAATTTTTTTCATGTTTTGGTGTAGGGAGCTCGGAGTTTGTTATCTTATTTTAGTTACAATCTATATATAATTATATTAGATTATATTATAAACAGTAATTATAGTTAAAATAGAAATATTTTTAATGCTAATAAAATATTTTTAATGCTTTTGCAGATCAAATGTATTGCATAATTAACGAAATGTATTTACATAGATAGCTGTTAAGAATTGTTACATTATATGTGTAAGGTATGACTTGGTATACATGCGGTTAAGAATATTTAATATAAGTTATAAATATTAATAATGAATTCAATGAAATAAGTTTATGAAAAAACTTTATAGCTGAACATAAATACGTTAGTTTTAGAAAGTTTTGTAAGTAAATATAAATATTTGATTTACTTTTTCTCGTATATCACATGGAATTTTGTTCTTATAAATATTGCATTGGTACACTGTTTTTGCTTGAACTGTGTATTGAATCAACATTATGTGCCACATATTGTATTTTTTTTAATAAACATTAAATTTTAATGAAAATATACTAGAGATAAGTATCAACCTTTCAATTGCATTGCCTACATTCCTTGACCTCTGATCCATTTTATCTATATTTAGATAAAAAAACGGTCTTGAAAGCTGCGTATGTTCGAATGTAGTAAGTTAGTTATATTCGTGAATACTGAGTGTGGTGACAGTGAAGTAGATCAGACTGTTTCCTCAAATTATTCAAAAATGTAATGTACAATACAAAAAAGAAATTAATACATAGTATATGTATATTGGATAGGTTTTAAAAAACTTGACTAAAAAATGTAGAATCTATAGGAATTAATATATTTAATAAAAAAATTGCATTGATATCTAAATTTATTTTTCATCAAATAAGAAAAATAATCTCATTTTCATTCGAAGCGAATCTTAAGTATTTAATAATATTTATATGTAAATTTTGCAAATATATCAATTTTATAAACTACATTTATTCGGTTTATTTTGAAACGCAATCGTAAATTGAACCTGAAGGAAAATAACAAATTTTAAATTCAAGATTGTAACGCAAAATAGAGGAGAAGGTGACACAACATTTATATATTATACAATAACTTGGTTAATAATCAATATTTCAATTAAAACGTAACAGTTACATTCTTCAAAGTATTGTTCAGTCGATTCTAAATACAAAGTTACGAAACATTTATTACTTAGGGCACTATTTATAAAAATGTGGCGACACAACGTAATGGCTCAAAGAAAAAGCTTTTTTAATTTTATTGAATTGAAGTGACTACTCTGATGCGCATGTTTAATTTATAACATACGGTAAACCAGACATTTAATAAATACGCTATTGGTCATAATGATTAATATTGTTCGTTCTATATAGTGATCCCATGTAAGTTGTTACACTTTCATTTATAAGACCTATACGTTTTTAAAAAATATTCATTTCGGTTAACCTATTGTTTTAGTTAGCCAATCGGGTAATTTGATGTTCAAGAAGTTCATTTAACAATATATTCACGATTGACCCCACTTAAAAACGGTTCACTCTGCGATTAAAACACGTCACAATTGTATTTACGGCTTATTAATGTTTTGTATTCATTAGTGTTCGACTTATTTGGACTGAAGAGGATCCAAACGTTTACGAAACGAAACGAAATGTTTATATTATGTATCTTTTTAAATAAATTTGCACTTGTACGTCCTGTGCTGGCTCAAATAGGTTATTCTAAGCAATAAGAAATGCTTCGATCGAAAATAGTATTATTTCTCTTACTTCATTTATTCTTATCAATCTAATTTTTACTTATAATTGTCAATCTTTAATCGTTTTTCAAATAGATTACTCAAATTATTATTTAAGCATAATACAAAATATATTATCGCTCGTCTACAATGTGATATAGAAATTCAAAGTTAAAAATGAAGATGAAGTTATGAATTTTTCTTGCAATTTATTGTGTAATTTGCGTTATGTTTCTTGTGTTTTTTTATATGATAGATGAGTACTTCTATAAATCAAAAGGAAAAATTAAGTATTACCTCGCATGTTTTGGATACTAGCAGAGGTCGACCTGTTGATGGCTTGTTTGTGAGTCTCTATAAGTTTGAAAATAACAAGTGGATTTTTCTGAAAGAAAGGTACTGCATTGGTTTTGCATTGTCATATATTTTTTTATATGTATAAATGTTTTATTTATCATTAATTTTCAATTTTTTTTCATAGCACGACAGATTCAAATGGACGCTGCGGGGATTTGTTGCAGGACATGCAAGAGAATCCCGGGTCTGGCAGATTTAAGATTGAGTTTCGGGTGAACGATTATTTCAAGCGAATCGCAACCGCCTTTATGTATCCGATGATCGACGTGATGTTCGACGTGCAACATCCCAACGAGCACTATCACATTCCTCTGCTGCTGAATCCTTTTGGATATACCACATATCGTGGCTCGTAATCGACATCACGCTTAACCCAGAAATCACTTGGAGTGTTTTTATATTCCAGCATCGAGAAAATGTGAACTATTATTTTAAAATATCTATTTTTAAATATATTATCGTTTTCTTTTCTTGTGGACATATTTTTTTATAAATTCCTTACGAATCTTTAAATATTAAATTCCATTGAAAATCTGCAATAAAAAAAGCGTTATATTAATTAAAAACTTTTTTGTTCAAAATACTATCGTAATAAGTTACTTAAAACGTTTATTCTGTTTAATATTTGTTTGGTTTTTAATTTTTTTAAAAAATAATAAGTAAATATTCGTAAGGGTAACAGTATTCTTTCGCGGATTATAAAAGGCTATTTTTATGAACTTTTTTAACGGAAATTATGGGGTGATTGGTTTTAAACTTTATATACATAATAATACATATTTTATTAAGACTCAGGAATTTTTTCAAATTAAAATATTTAATGAAAATTATGGTTATTAAATTGTAACAATAAACGCGGAACGCCTCATGGCTTCCATAAAATCTCGATACTCAGTTATCTGAAATGAAATATCGAATAAGATTATTAATCTACAGATGTTCGGTTGTCATCGAAAGTAGAATTATAAAAAAAGTTATTTTCTAAATAATTATAATGCATATAAAAATAGCATTTAAAAACTCGTTAAAATTTTTTAAATCTATGTTAGAATTAAAATGAACAAATTAATAATTTTTAATTTCAACGATAGAGAGAGGTATTTGAAATATGTAGCTAAAGGGCAAAATCGACTGATTCATTAATTTGTTTGAAACCATGGGAGCTAGTTTGAAAGACATAGTTTTAGAAAAATGCGTTTAAAGTATTGAGTACAATTTAATCATATATTTCTAGTTACTTACGTAAGTTTCAGCCTAATCAGTGATTTCAAGCCCATATAATATCTTCTGTAAGTTCAAAAACTTATTTTCGGTTTGTCTCATCTCTCTCGCAGCTGTTCAAACCTCCTGAATGCCTATGCCGCTTCGACGTTTCGCGTGATTTCCATTGTTTATCGCGAAACTTAGTAAACTATTTGCATTGCGAATCAATAGCAAGGATATACAAAATTCGCAGAAGTGATCATCAGAACATCTTTCATTAAATAGATACGCAGCTAAAAGAAAAACATATGTTCCAAGTGTCCTGAAATCATATAGTGAAGGTGTTTTCTGTATTCTTGTCGGATACCGAAGGAATGAAGAGATGGATAGGCGTTTAATTAGGAGATCGTTGACCTACGAAAACAGATCCGAAGACGAGCTTCTACACAACTTTACGATTTTATGCTTGGAGTTAATTTATGAATTTTCATCCAAATTATTCGCTAGGCAAAGTTTGCTGAGTTATATTCTTTCATCTACGAAGTTTTGGATTTTTCAATTTTAACCATGGTACTTAATATTCGCGATATTCTAGATCTATCTTCGTAGGCCTCGTGTTAGACAGTAAATATGTACTTCACATAATTTTTTTTAACAAGACATTTAATATTCGTTTAATATCTGTAAGCTCAGCAGAGTCAACATTTTGCGTGGGAACAGACGTTAAGAGGTTCTCGTATGTAGGTATGCGCGTTACAGATCCTCTTGTTTGCATTGCGCTACGCAAACTGCGCTCGAGCGGCTCTTCGCGGCACGCGAAATATTGAATATTTTCGGATCCGGTCGAAGTTTTTACGGATTCTCACGAGGATTAACGCAAGTTTTGCGAAAGGACACATTTCAGAGCAGATAAAAGAATAAGAAAAGTAAAGATATACTCCGTTGCATTATGTTCACTATCTTCTAGCGGGACTTAAAATCGAATTGCTGATACCCAGTGTTGTAACATATCTAGGTATAAGCATGATGGAATAAGAAAAGTGAGCTATTTCCGTGGATGTATAGTAGCTCCAAAATAGTGGGGAGCTGACAGCCAACTACATTCGACTCGTATCATGGAAATCTAATATGACTGATACTTTTGCCATTTTTGTGAGCACGCGAGTTAGTTGATGGAAATTATTTTCTAACGACAGTTTGTGTATATGTATAAAGTTCTTGATTCTTGAAAAGAAAGGTTTCAAGGCATTGTAAGTGGCTGACTAATCAATCGGAAAAGCCAAGAAAACAAAAAAATATGTAATGTTACACTTACTATGTTTCAATGATATTACATTTTAAAAGTTTTTATATTTTTATGATTGGATTAATATTGCTATTTTCAATAAATATACTGTGCTTTTAATTCCGATCAGTAATGTGTGTTTGAAAATTCGTGCACAGGCCAAATATGATTGGTTGTCATTTCGGTTCTCCATTCTTTTCCGCTCTATTATGCACAATAATTCATCTTTCTTATTCTATCATGGGTATAAGTATCTAAGTACAGTACCTAAGTACTTTAGCAGTACCTAAGTGTATTACCTAGGTCTTCATAGGTAGCTTTGTAGGATACTTTTTAAGTTTAAGTACGTAGATACAAGATATTTATCTATATATATCAATGGTATACATAGACCAAACTTTCCCATATTTTTCAGTGATGGGAGATGAAGTTGGAAATTGACAGTTTAAGTTTTAAATAATTTAAAATTGACTTCAGTGACCGTTGAGATTCCATGCTATCTCTTCTTTCTTTGAAGATAAAAAGAGACATAACGGAATCACAGATCCTATCAAACCATCATCTTCCGGCTTTAAGCTACGAACAGAATTCTTGGTCTATGTATATACGTCATTGATTGATACGATATTATATCATTATATTATAAACATAATTTTAATTCCAAAAAGAAATCGATTTTCCAATACACTATTGTTTTAAAAAAAGACAATAGTTATCCAAACATTTTTATAAGTACTGCATAAATAGTAGTTCGCAAAATAAAATTCGTTTATGCAGTTTGTTTTTTTGTAAGAAATATCTAAAAAAATAACTGAATCTTTCAGGTACTGTTATACTGTACCTGTATCTATATCTAGATAATTTGTTAAAAATGTATCTATACCTGTAACTAGGTACTTTTCCTACAGAGCATCTATACCTAGATACCTTACAAAAGATACCTGTTACAACACTGTTGATACTATTCGATATAAATTATTAATATTGTTTAGAGAAAGGGGCACATTTTACAATTTAAAATTAAAAAGGATTTCAAACAGATTTAGCGTCGTGCTTTACGATGCAACGATGCAATATTCACCCTCTTGTAATTATCCCTTATATATAGATATATACGCAACTAGGACTTTAAAACAATTATAATACAAAAAACACTTTGTGTGATCGCCGCCACGAAGAGTTAATACCTCCCGATACCTTCGACTAGTTCGCACAATAAATTGTTTTCGTCCATTAAAAATCGCCACCGCAGAAGTGGGAAGGTGCCGAGTTTCTTTCTTCGAGCGGCTTGTTAATTAAGAAAATAGTATTTTCAATACCGTTCGAATAATAATGCTCCTTTTTCCCGGCACCTTGCGCACTTCCACTTTGCCGCCGATTAGAGCAAGCTGGGCTGTTGAAGCGTTTTGGTCAAATTATACATTTTAACGACTGATTCTGTGATTAATTTGGAATCAATTGTTCTACGTATTTATAAAATTTAAATTATATAATTTAAGATTCGTCGTGATTGTGAGTTTTTAATGATTTATAATATTTCGCACCAGCTCGCCCCGATCGAACGCGGAACTCATTAACGCAGGTACGTAAAAATCATGGGCGTCGTAAGAAAAATGCAGAGAGGCACGCTCTGAGTTTCCGAAAAAAGACAAAAAAAGAACTCTCTCTAAATAAAATTTTTTAATTCAGAATTTCAAATACTATGCCATTAATATATATTGTCTACAAGACAATATATGGAAAAAACTATAATTTTTCAGTTTAATAATAAAGCGTACTTCTGCGTATACAGTGTTTCATTTCAATTTCTTCAAGCAAATATCTTAAAAAATATGTAAGATACGAAAAAATGTTTCAGATAAAAGTTGAACGGTTTTAAGGAAAATGTATTTTGATCACGTTTTCTTTTTCTAGGATAAAAAGATATGAAGAGATATTTTATAGATATTTTTATGGATATTTTACGAGATATTTTATACTTTATTTTGACACATAATGACATGAAATATCAAATATTTCATGAACTATTAATTTTTTGATAATCATAATTATACCTTAATACTTTTATGAACAAAATAATGAGATGAATCAAGTGGTGTAAAGAAAACACACAATTGCTTATTAAAAAAATTATTTTACATATTTTTTTTAAACTATCTATGTATTTTCTTTACACTAATTGATACTCAACTTATTATTCTGTTCATAAAAATATTAGGTACGATTATCAAACAATTAATAGTTACGAGATATTTAATATTAATAGTTATGAGATATTTAATTTCATGTCAATATGTACCAGAATAAAGTATAAAATATCTCGTAAACTATTGATTTTTAATAACTTTATCATAATACTTTTATATGGAATCATTTTATGTAAAAAAAATTATACAATCCTATAAAGTAAAATGGTAGTAATCTCCATATGACGTCGAAAAATTGATTTTTTCGAAAATCAACTTTACCAATATTTGCGTCCCTCCAAACCGTACAACTTTTATCTGAAACATTTTTCTATATCTTTCATAATTTCCCAAACATATTCTGATATTCGATTCATTACGTTTGAAATAACCCCCTCCCCCTCTCTCAATGTCTGTATACATATATATAATTCTAACGAAGATTTTATATTTCGAAAGATAACAATTCAAAAAACTAATAATTTTGTGTGCCCTTATGGAAAATTCTAGCGGCGCTCATGATAATAATTAACGAAATGCACTTAGGTACTCGATCAAACATGACGAGGTTCAAATTCGAATCCTTGACATGTTCAAAAAGGCGCAATTCTGTTCATCATGATTAACCACAGAAGAAGAATAACTTCTTCTCTCTTATTCCCTGCCAATTTTTTACTACAAAATTGCAATCAAATCGAATACTTTGCATAATTCGTTACGATAAAAAAATTTCACATGTATATAATTGATCGTTATAAAAAAGGATTCGGGATTAATTTCGCATTGTGGCGGACAAAACTGAGGGCGGACTTACCGATTCGAGGGTAATCAACTGATCCAACAGCTGTTTTATATAAAAGAGACACGCGTGAAGATTCTCAGGACTCGATCCTTGTAATAAGAGCAATAACGCGTTTAACGATATTTATATCTGCGCGAAAAATAATCCTCTTTAGAGTTCCGCAGATAAAATTAGGAACACTATCATCAATTAGCTGCCTTATCATTAGATATTAGCAATAAAGATTTTAGAAAATATGAATTAAGAAGAAAGCTCATTATACCATTCCTGACACACAAATAGAATATAAATATATAAATAAAATTTCTAATAAAATTTATAATCACTCGCGAACAACATGAATTTAACAAATTGATAAATATGAAGGGACATTCCACTTACAACATTTATTGCAATTAGCATTGTATCTGTTAATTTTACGAAAATCTTTATTGATGATTTATTATGATCAACGTCAAAATACAATAGCTAATTAACGATCAATGATCTTAAATATTTTTATCTTTATCAATAAAACACGTTTTTGAAACATCGATTGTCCAAACGGAATTTTATTTTCGGAATGCATTCAATGTAAATTGTAGCCAGTTCCTTCTGCTAATCAATATTATTAGCTATATTTCAGCATTTGCGATCATTGGATTATCCATTTATGCTTTGTTATACGCTTATTTTTATCATAGAAGAGAAATATTTGATTCCTACCCTATTATTAATGCTTCTTACTGTATGTGAAATATGAATCTTTGAAAAAGTGAAACAAAGATAAGCGAAGAAAAAAACAATAGAATAATGATTTTTTAATAGAATTTTGTACAAAATGATAGATGAGGAAGAAGAGAGAAATTTTATCTACGGAACTCTTCAATGCGTTTAAAAGGTGGTTCTTTAGTAAGTCAAATTACTATAGAAATATCTAACTTCTTTATATAATAAAATCGAAATGCCGAATTTCATGTATGTGTGCAAAATTCTAGGATAGGTTAACGATGAAATGAGAAAAAAATGTTGAAAATGTAACTTTTAACGTATAACTCAGTGACACGTAAGGCGTCGGAGACGCTTCTTTGAGTAAGTGACTTTTCTAAAAAACGAATAGTTCACGACGTTAAAAATTATGACATAAAAACCTCGCTTACAATTACAATGTAATTGAACAATGCAATGTTGACAAATTGTCATATAAAACAATCTAAGTAGCTTTGCTACAATGAATATATTCGAAATCATTAAAGACAAAATCTACCGCAAAGTTGCCGGCATCATAAACAATCATAGATTTGTCCGATTTTTCTGAGACGAGACTTTGCTATCTGAAAAATTTTACAAGAAATCAACTCCTTTTTATTTAATAATAAAGGTGTTGAGAAGGGCTACGAACCATAAGAAAACAATATTTAATTGAAGATATAATGTAATTAAGAAATAAAACAAAGATTCTTTTTATTTCATCACTTTTGCATACTATTGTGTGTTTTATACTATTTCATTAAAATATACACGTAGTTTTAACATTTTATTCAAATTATGCAGATATTTGTGATTTTGAGTGGACACTGATAAAGTGCCTCAAATTTTTGATACTTTACTAAAGAACCACTTTAATAAAATAAACGCCTATCTATTGTACAGAGTGCCAAAAACTGCGTACTCTCTCTCGATCATAGACGACATATCGGTTAATTTCTAAATTAGAAGCAATTAAAAATAAAGTGCAAAATTATTAACTCTTCAATGCCACTTTCGATATGGCATATCCAGCTTTTTTCAAAATGATTTTTTTCGAAACTTCTGTTTATTTTATATTACTCATAATTTTTAATAAAGATACATACATTTGTTTGATATTGTTGTATCCTTTGTCTAGTGTTTTAATTGAAAAAAAGTTGTTAATTATGTTGGACAAAATTTGTTTAGTGTTCGTTTTTATAAAAGTTATAAACAATCAAAGGTGGGTTGGATATGCCATATACAATATGTTGCACCCGTGACGAAACAGTATAATGTGACACTGAAGAAAAACTGATCCAAACTGATCAAGAAATTTGTAGATGCGACTGAGCATGCGGTATATTTGGCACACTCTCTCTGTATATAGTGATGTTCGACGCGTTGAATATCCTTCGCAGTGCAAAGAAAGATTGATCAAAGCTGCCAAGTTAGCTTCCTCAAAAACGGCGATGTATCTGTTCGCACCGAGATCTAACGGACGAATGACGTCCCATGGAACTTTACAACTGCGTTCGGGGAGACATTATTAGCACTATTTGTGTCATTCTATCTTCATCGTGCATTAGAACGTGAAGTAAGGATAGTATGACACAAACAGCGCTGATAGCACGATCCCTAAACGCAGCCTACATGCCTCGCATGTCGCGCACACTCTTCCTACCTATAGTCATATTATTCATCATCCTTCTCTTTCTCTCTTGTTCACATTCGCGCTCTCTCTCGTACATTCTTTCTTTTCCTTTCTCGCTCTACGCGTACGATGCATTTTTTAAATCACGATAATCTTGATGATTATTAACCACGATAGTAAAAGCATATAAGCTATACAGCTACCATTCTGTATCTACAATATAGTTTTGTATGTATAATATATATATATTTCTTTTTCTTTCTCTTTCTTTTTCCATTTCTTTCCTAACTCTGGTCTCTCGTGACATCATTAAAATATCATTGTCTCTCGAAAAGCGGTTCAATGTTCGCGCACTGACGTTCCTTGTCTCATCCTCCACGTGGATTCCTCTTTTCCGTGCTTGAAAGCCAGAGATAGCCTGGCGAGAGTCCAATCTTCCACGGCAAGGGTTAACTTCATGTTCCAGAGCATTTTAAGAGAGATTCCAATCTCCTCAACAAGAATCGATAGCCTCTTATCTCATTTTCTTCACATTCCGATTAAACTTGCTCTTGTTTCCATCCAAATATTCTTTCTTGTTTCCCTTTTCTTCATGATTGAAAGATACAAGAAGCTTCTTTGACATCTTGTTTGAGTTGCTGCTCGTTTCATTTTTTTCAGATTTCTAACAATCTGATGTTCTCGTATATCCAATCATATTCTCATCGTTTCCAATATTTCGCTCCACTTTTTTTCACTTTCTTTAAAGATGAAACCTTATTCTCCCTCTGAGAAATTATCTTCTGGACCTGTTCTCCAGGTCTCGAGCGTGTTTGGAATGCCGGCGTTTTCCTGTTCCGGCATCCTCTTCGAGTCGCTTCTTCATCGATGCGTCCTCGATACCTCGAGTTGCCCAGTCGTGATTTCTTCAATAGCCACGAAGCTGAAGTTACGCTCCCGATGGAGGAGGATCGTCTCTCGTGCGCGTCCCCGCTGGCTCCGTCGCGCGGTCATTACTGCAGCACGCAGCACTTGCACTTAGGCTTCTTCTTCAGGGTGACGTGCTCGACTTGTGACGCGTCGCCCGGGCCCTGCGCCGTCATCCTCGCAACTTCCACCGTTGCGGTCCGAGATGCGCCGACCTGAACCAGACATCATTACGAATGGCTGATTAACTTATCTTCATTTTTGTCTTGATTCTTGTATCTAATAATGTTCAAGTTTAATTCGGCACACCTTCAAACTTTAAATATGAACAATTAGTGAAATTGTGTAGACTCTCAAAAAATGAATCAAAGATAAATAAAAAGTCTCTAAAAGCCGCAAGATATTGTTGCTAATTTTATGATTTATTTTATATAATAATACAACAAATGGTTTACGTTCCGACCTATGATTAGGATGAAAATTAATTAAATAACGAAAATTAACCGATATATATATATAAATCTTGGAAAAACCAGGATTTTTACCTGGAATGTCCTGGAATTATTTTTGAATTGACTAGCCAGATTTTGCTGGACACCATGTTTATTGTAGCCAATCAGAATCTGTAAACTCAACGTGCCTAGAAAACAATGGACAAAGCAAAGCGGCTAATAGGTCTGATCGCCTTTACATTTGATATTTTGCATGTAAAATTTCATGTTCTCAATGGAATCTTGAAAATATATATTACATAATGAAATTAATATGATCTGCAGTAATTTTCTATGTGGGCTACAATATTTAAAAAAATCCTTCATAATCATGTAATTACAAACACATATTTTTTTCAGTGTAGGTCGAAACGTAAACAGTGTATGTTTGTTGTATTATTATATAGAATAAATCATAATTCGCAACAATATTTTGCGTCGGCTCTTAGAGACTTTTTATTTATTTTTTATTTAAATATAAACACTGTGCTATCAAATTAACAATTAGCGTTAGAAACAAAAATTGAACAAGTTATTGTATAGAGCAGTGATGCAGCCTTTTCGTCAACACCTCACCTTTTCGTTAACAGGTTGGTTGCCGGCAGTCTTCGAAGGAGTGCCACCTCGTGCACTGCCATTCTCCTGGCCGGGCCTCGGTGACGAGTTAGCGTGGCAATTCGCGGATTTGAGAAGCGGGCTGGTACTCGAGTCGCCAGATTTGCCATCGCATCCCGGTAACGGCGGTGCGTTCTGACCTGGAGTTGGCGTGATCGGTTTCCCACCCTTTATTAGTTCGACGATCTCATCGGCTTCCCGGGAGAGATCGCCATCCGGTCTGAATGGATTGTCCCAGCCGCTGTCCGTACTAAAATCAGAAAACATTGTCACATTTAATTTTAATTTCTTCTCGTTTAAATAATTCGCGATTAATCGTTGTTTTTGTTCAGATAACGATTATTACTTTCATTGCAATTCAATGCAAATTATTACTTTTCAATTGCACAGTACTTTTAAATACATCGCATGTCTTTCTAAAACTGAACTTATCAAGTACTGTTGTTATGCGCCTCTTTTATTCTCTATGTGCATTTGAATTTCATGTATCAAAGAGTTTACTTCTATAAATATGAGATAAATAAGTAATTAAAAATTTTATATCATTTTATAAAAATTTCATTCTTAAATTTAAATAAGAAATCTAGTATTATATATATATATATATATAACGTTTCTTATATGTCACATATGAATCATCCTATATTTGATAATATCGCTATAATGGTACGTGCTTCTGGACGATATCTTAATGATGGATCTCGTTGTATAAAAATTGCGTTTTACATGAAAAATGCTTTCTAGCACGAGATAATTTCTTGATACAATATAAAAGATCGTTAATACTAGGAACAAAACTGTTTTGATGTATATGTATATAAGAAACACTGACTGATTGTTATTTAAAGAAAATGTAAAATTGAATAGATCACATAGTAATGCAATAGTAAACTTTATTGCATTCATAATTAACATTGTTAAACCAACGGTTTAATTGTGCAATTTCTTTCAATCGGAACTTAACATTTATTTTACTCGTCCAAGCGTCATTTTGTGCACTCAGGCATTTTCTTTCTTAATATAGTCAGCTTAATGAAAACTTTTGAAGCAATAGAGCGTAAGACCAAGATTATCGATATTGACCTATTTATGTTATTATAATCAGGAAAATAAACAACTCGACTTGATAGAAATCCAATTAAAATTTCTAAATATAGTTATTTAGAAACTTACAATAATTTTATAAATCAAGTTCACATTTCTTAAAAGGGGACAGAAGATTCGTATGGTTACGTTAAAGACGAAAGTGATTATATTTCAGTAAAAGGAATACTGAACATAGTTTCACTTCCTTAGAATTCATGGAATCATGGCAAAAATCAAAATTTTCAAGCCCGTTTTCAATGACACACACAGAAAACTTCTGTATTTTCAAAAAATTTTGTATTACAAGTTAATTTTCCATATTTCAAATATATAGTAATAAGTAGTCCATTTATGTTTCTTTCCTTGAAATAAATTTTCACAAATTTCGCCTTCAATTTAATCATATAAATCTCTTGTCTCCATTTAAGACAAAAGTTGAATTGCTTTAGTAAGCGCCACAAATTTGTTATTTCACGTAGAAATTTATATCATAACATTTCCGTATCTACATTACTTATCATGAGAGTGCGCGCGATTTTTCTCGAAAAGTTTTCTCTGAAATTTTCAGACTCTTAAGTATTTGATTTCTCTGAAAATATTACACGTGCATTTCGATTTGGGGCGAGTTCCACTTGACTCACAACGCTCATAGAATCATTTCATCTTTGTTATTTATTAAATGTTAAATAAGGACAAATGCTCGCGAGTGAATGGAACGTAATGTCGTCAAAGCTAAGGATTATTTATATTGGCCGTAATCTGTAAGAATTGATCAATCGTAATCGATTATTTCCCTCTCATTCAACTGTGGTTGGTCAATTTTTACAGATTACGGCCAGTATAAATGATTCTTTATGTGAAAGGAAAGTGTTCAAAGAACAAAATGATAGTTCGTAGTTGTTTAATAAAGATGGCATTAGTAAAATTCATTCTAGGTTACAGTCTCTATAATAAGAGTATAGACATCATATGTTTAACTTTTGATTGATAAATAAATACACAATAAATAAAAATTAAAGTCTATAAAGTCTATTGCGAAAATTGCAAAATGCTAAAGGACTTTTCGACTCAGTTTTTTATTAGGAATAGCACTGTATGATTAGTGTACATTATTTTAGATACATATATATATATATATATATATAACGGTCGAAGCTGCATCTTTTAATAATGGCGATTGAACATTATACTAAGTAAATGCAATTTACTGCATATAATGTACTTTTAAAATATAACTTTAATTTTTAATATACTCTGCTTCTTTCGGAAAGCTGCGTACAATGCTCTTATGCCACTAAGTGTACCGAATATTTTTTTTCAGACAATTATTTTACATCCGATATCGAAAATGTCATATAAAGGTATCGTCAGTCAAGAAAGGTATCCGCGTTAATGATATATATCGATTATTCGTATCGCTTATGATTTATGTCAACAAATTGATTTATCATTAATCCCGTACAAAAAAAATTTTTATTGTTAACATCCTCAATGTTAAACGCGTCGCCCTATATATCCGACGACACCCGATCAGTTGCGGGCACAACGAATAAATTGCGCTCAATTGCGATCACGCCGTTGCGCAATGACCGTGACATTAACTTCGTCATTGTGCTGTGCTTAATTGCGCCATGATGCTCTGTTACCTATTCACGGTAACGTACGTGTGCACGCTAACTTCTGGTCATCAAGCTTAGACCGTTTTTTTTTAAGAGTTTTTAGTTGCTCAATTGTGTATTCACATTTGTGTTTTTATTCTGATTGTGTATTCACAAAATTTTGGTTGTTTACCAAAATTGTTTCGTTTCTTTTCGTATCAGGATTTACGATTCAAAATTATTTTAGGAACACATTCTTAAAAGGTAATGCAATAGTTGTAGGACATCCTATAAATATACATGTAATATAATTTGATCTTTAACTGCCAATGCGGAAATTTATGACAAATTCATAAGTTCAAAATTATCATTACATATTAGATACCATTGAGAAATTTGATGGCTTATTTCCTGGCTTAACGTTCGTCGCAATGAGATGGCTGTGTGGTATAATCGGTCGTTTTGAAATAACGTCTAGACGGATAGGAAACGAGGACCGGCTCGAATTTCCGATGGTGCGATCGATTGCAATCGATCTCCGTTTTTCTTTCGTTAGTTTTTATGAGATTATTCGATCAAATCCAAGATAACTTCGCTAAAGGCGAGATTCGAGACACGATTGAGTTTCTTTTATTTCTCGCATTTCTTTCTTGCTGGAGCGATGGCTACCACGAATTACAGTGCACCACAAAACTGACTTTATGGATTGTAAAATTTATTTACAGAATTAAAATATGTATAAGTAGAAATTCACTTACTTTGATATAGATGTCATCTGAGGTTAAAATTTGTTTAATATAAAAGTTTTATAATTCATATGAGTAGCATAAGTATCCAACGGATCTCGAATTACTTGAACGAACAATACTGAGTTTGTATAGCTACGATTAAGAGCCTAGAAAAAAAATTTAGGCTGAACATAATTCACGTATACGTGTACATGTATGTATACCTAGCAGATTTGAATCTCTGGTTAATATGTAACCCTTTCCTAGGTTTATACAATCGATCAGGAGTTGAAGGACCTTCGAAAAGGAGACGTCGCTCTTTGAGTAAGGTTACGCGATGATCAAATTTAGCCGATTATTCTCGCGATGAAAAAAAAAGCGACATGAGAAGAAGACAGAAAGGAGGCGGCTAAAACGAAAAAAAAAAGCATGAAAGAGAATGGGAAAAAATGCGGAATGAGACAATGAACGAGCAATATCAAGCTAGTTATATACATGAAATGTCATGTTTAGATCAATAATTTTCAAGTAACTACTAATATAAAAAACATATATTATATATGCATTTAAAGTCGAAATTAAAAAAAATCGTCATAATTTATAACTATTAGATAAGCTTTGAAATAAATTTTGGACCACCATATTGGATTCATCATTTGGAATGTTTAAATTTCGACTTTAAATTCGTAATCAGCGACCCAAAAAACCTTTGATGCAAAGTATCAAAAAATGTCCAATGAAGCGTTCGGTTCTTTAGTACGTAAGCACTTATTAAAGAACAAGGAATTTGTTAATACAATTTGTTCCAGCAGTTGTAAATATTTGACCATTTTGGAAAATACATATATGCATTGCTGTAGATTTTTTTATGCTGAATTCGAATCTATTGGCCAAATCAACGAATATTATTACGTTTCAAAGTTATTGCAATCTGAAGACGTTAAAAAACAACTTTTTCGTAATTTTAGGTTACAATATCTTAAAATCCTGACGTGCTAAACAATTTCTGTGGCCAGATTTGAATTCAGCGCAAAAAATTACATTGGAAACCACTCCTACATCTCACAATCAGTGGACTTTTCAAAGTCTCATTTCCGCAGACCTGTGTAATTCTTGTAAGTCTTTGTATTATATTAATTCGACTCTTAATATGATATTTAATAAATTTTGTTTTTCAATGTCTTCCACACATAGAAGTCTAAAAGCGTTAAATCTGTTGATCTTGGAGGCTGAAATATTGATCTTTCTAAACAATTCGGAATAATGTTCGTTTAACCAATGTCGTACTTGTTTTTCGTAGTGCATTATCGGATAAAGCATTACTTATAATATGTTACTTGATGTTTACTTTGTGTCGCATTGTTTCAAATAATAAATACTAAGTTTATCAAACACAAGCACATCAAGAAATGAACTAATATAATAAATTATTATATTTTTGACGCATTTTAAAATGTAAATTTAAGTGAAAAATTCATTTCTTGCAGACTTTATATTTTTCCTGTAACTTTTAAGTAAAACATTTAATGACCTATACTATCAGAGTTTGTACGGAAAATCTGGGGATACCCTGTAATGTGCATAAAATTTATATACATTTATACGTGAATATAAAATTTAAAAAAATTAATAATTTACTATTTTCTACGTGACCTCATAAATTTTTTACTGTAAGAAACATGCAAACGTCTCGCAAGAATTGAAGGGTATTAAAAAAAGCTATCTCTCTAGAGCTCTAATGTTATGCAATATTCATGATTATCGGAGAACATTGACTCCATAAGAATCATAAAAACTGACCGCTTTCAGAATATGACATTTCACATGCGGCGAACGGA